TTTTTATTGAGAAGATGTTAAATAACTTTGGATAAGGTAAGCTTATATATTTTACAGACAGGTTGAATGGGTGACAAGGAAAAACTTTATCATAAGTTTAATACAGTAACAAATGTACAATGTTTTTAGAAGTTTTTGCGATCATCAGGTATAAGTAGTTTATCTAGACACAGGAAAATATATACACAACATGGAACAAAAGTTGCACAATAAGAGATTTATTAAGGTTTAATAAAGGTATCTTGTTGATGGTTCTTTGTTTAAAATTATGGTGTTTTTATTTTTCAGTAGATGTAATATGGTTGTAATGAATTGTAATGTTTATGAACATGAGTTTGTTTTTTTTTATATATAATTTTACCAAATGAAATTAATTAAGTTTACTGTTTGGTTACATGACGAGTGTGGTAGGTGAGTACAAGATATTCTGTTCACTGAAATCTTTAGTGAGTATTATTTTTATGTTTATTTTATTCAAACAACATATAAACATGTTTTTTTGTTTTGTTTTTAAATAAAAACAATAATAAACTTATTGATAAATGGTGATAGTAAAAGTTGAATATAATGTCTCCATTTTACATACAGAAGACTAGTGTGGGATTACTACATATTTTAAAAATAAAGAATGGTGATTGTGTAGTGATGATGTTTAGCTGAAGTTAGTGACTCGTTCACCTAGTACTATGTTTGTATGAAAATAATTCTTTAGAAGTAAAATACTATCCAAATAGGTCATGAAGATAACACACAGGCTCTTTCTTTTGCATTTATGGACATGGCAATATTGGTTATGCCTTTACTAATTGGTAAACACAGGGACCATTTTCATTTTTTATTTTGCTTTTATGGGCATGCTGGTAGGAGGCAAGTATATACTAATCCATTAATGAGACTGTCAATTAATCAATTAGTAAATTTCACTAATCAACCAGCTTTAGTGTTACCTGATAGTGTAGTACAGGACACCTCATTACATTAGGAACCAAGCCATTCCTGGTACTTAGATCTAGCCAGATAGGTTTTGGGTTTGACACAGGATTAGGATGCTACTCCCTGCACCTGATTTTTGGTGGTGAGTATCTTGTGTATTTTTCCTATATGGAACAGCGTGACTTATAACCCTAGCTACACTACACACTCATACTCAGATATCTGCCTCTGAAATAATGGACAGTTGAGCAATCTTCCTTTAGTGAAACTTTACCACTCAATAAAATATTCTTATAACAAAATCTCTTTTGGAAGAAACATGTCCCCTGCTTGAGATGGATGCTGTCTCCTACTGAGTATTTGCACTACTAGGCTACCCTGCTCCTTGTGGATGTCACACTCCATGGGATTTTCCTTTCTGATACTGTTTTAAGAAAGGATCTTGTCCTTGCAATCTCTTTGCACTGCCCCATCCACTATCTTTAATATTGGATTATAGCTGTTTGTGGTATAGAGGTGATTAGTATTTCTCAAATTAACATTTTCCTTACATGAATGAGTCTGTGTTCACATGCTAGTACTTATGGGAATTACTGCATGTGGAGAATGTGTTGCCTTCCTATTGGTGGAGGGCTATAATCTAATGATGATTATATTATAGGCTGGTACAATACATGTTGACATGTGTAGGGGTGAGAGACTAACTAACTTATAATTTTCAGGGAAACTCATATCACCCTCTTTGAAAATAAAAGTAACATTAGCAACTCTCCAATCCTCAGGCTCATTTCCACTGTCTACTGGACTTTAAAAATGAGAGAGGAGCTCACATTTCATCTCCCACCTCCTTTAAAACCCTGTACAAAACTTTGTTTGGACCAAGGGATTAATATCTGTATGACTCTGCTCAATTCCAGTATTTTCCATAGAATGCCCAGGATCAGAAATATTGCTTACATCTCCACTTTGGAAAATCTAAAGAAGTCATTTAAAAGCTCAACCATCCCATTACATCAGACAATAAAAAAAATATTTTTCTCTGCTACTAAAGAAATGCAACTGATAATGAGTAACCTGATGATGCTGATTCTAAAAATCATGTTGAAAATTACTGATCACCTCTACTTTTTGAGTTATGATAGATTTATTCAAAATATTCTTATATATATATTGTAAAAATAATTGTATTTATACATTGAAAATTGCATTTAATAATGTTTAAAAATAATACATAATAGCAATACCAATTTTAAAAAGCAGTGAGTATAAGATTATATACTGAGAATATGTTCAGGCTATGTTCAAACGTTTCATCATGGTAAACAAAATTATTACACTTATGATATGCAACATTGTTTATTAACAGAAAGAGGACATAGATAAATGTTTCAGAATTCTATCAGATTTCATCTTCGGTATCTAAAGCAAATTTTGCTGTAGATACTGAAGATGGAATTTGATATGATAGAGTTCCGAAACATTTATCTATGTCCCCTTTTTCATCATGGTATTATTTTTTATTTTTGTCACAAAATATCTGTTTGATTTGTTGCACCTTTTGTGTGTGTTTTCAATTTCATGCTTTAAGAACCAAAAGTAATCTCCCATCATCACAGGATTCCATCATCCTTGATATCGCTGTTCCATTGTAGAATATTTTGGTGGAAGTGCTCACCATGCTCATCACTCACTGCACCAAGATCATTTGGAAAGAAGTCTAAATGGGAGTGTAAAAAGTGCATCTTTATTGACATCTTAGACCTCATTTTCCTGTAGTTCTCAAGCATGTCATCAATCATCACAGCATAGTTTTCATAACTGTAATTTCCTAAGAAAGTTTTGACAACCAATTTGAATTATTTCCAGGCAACATGTTCCCATAGTGCAAAAGTACAGCTTTCAGACTAACTTTAGATGAGTCAATAAAAAGTCTCCATTTTTGAGAATGACATATTCAGTAACTAATTCTTCCATTAGTGCATCAAAATTTATACAAAAACACAATGTATCTTGCATGCTGAAGTGAGAAGCAAGGCTTTGGTGGTGACTTCAGTAAATTGAAACTTTTGTTCCTGGAGCTAATAAATTCCATTACTGTAAACAAGTGCTTTGATACAGATAGTCAGATCATTTAGCTCTTCTTATGTGATCAGATGATGCAGTTTATATTGAGGTGCCACAGGAATAGAATTTCTAGATGAAGATGGTCCTTTGTGTTCTTCGTAAGGTAGCTCTTCTATTTCCCAGTTTGCTGGTGGATGTGGCACTGGAAGACTATCTCCATGAAATACTAGTTTCATTGCAGATGCAATATGTAAAACACACATGTGGAGCCCAGTGTTTTTTTTTGGTCACCAAATTTACACCCAAAATAGTGGTAGTAACTTACTTTTACCTTGTGTGTGATGTGTTTCCTTTGTCAAACTGTAATATATTTTCCACAAATGTAGCAGAAACTGTTTGGATGAATTTTTCAATTTCAGACTACTTGAACTAGATGCAGCTAGCATTTCAAATGATTTTCTAAAAATTATAAAAGAATTTATGTTTACAGAACTAAAGTTTAAAAAACAAAAGTTTGCAGAATTTGTTTATATCGTGAGTATGATGCAAGGAAGAAGATAAGACTATTCCTTGACTGTGCACAAAGCGAGGCAAAGTGACCAACTGAGTGAGAAGCATCTGACTTTGGCCTTTTTATGCTCAGTTGAGGTACTTCTTGAGTGTTCTAGCAAACTGAGCACATGAGAGTTTCATGATTCCTTGGTGGAGCAATCGAGCATGGGAATGAAGCAAAAGTGGTGCAATTTGATTGCGTGGTATTTAACATACTGTTGATAAAATATTGATATATTACAATGACTCAAAATCTAGTGGCGATGGACAAATTCTGGCTACATTTTTGAAATCATCACCATCACATTTACCCAAAATTACTTGAGTTTTCTGCAGTAGCAAATTTTTTGTTGTCCAGTGTAATCAACAAAAACCTTGTCATCAGCATGGATCAACATTATCAGTCACCTGTTTCTCATAAGGCAATATTTATTTATTATTTTCGTTTGTAACTAACATCTAAGCTTTACAATAAAGTATAATAGTTCTGTAAATTTTTCATCCTATCTTAAAAACTTCTTAGACTTATGGTACTTATCCATGGTTTTCTCCTTTGTGTCTTTAGTAAGCAATATAGATTTGATCTTCCCATTTAACCTTTTTCTCATTTTGAAACATGCCTACCTTGAATTGAGAGCAATTTATTTGTGCATTTCTATCTCACATCACCTTTTAACTCATTCTCCCAATTCACTAATAATAAATTTTGTCTCGTGGCCTCATATTGGCTTTCTAAAAATTGAAAACTGAAATTTAATTTCTTTTTATATGATTATGCAGTTTGGTTGACTCTGACTATTTGGTATAGAAAAACCAACCTGAATTACTTCAACAAAACTTCTCTACCTCACAATTTGACTCCATTGTCTCACAAGCAATAAGTCAAAAATTAAACTCTTCCATAATTATTGCATCATTATTCTTCTCAGTAACAATCCTGACCTTTATCCAATAGTGCAGTATACAATATTAAGATAAATAGATATACTAATAATCTAAAACTAAGAAGGGTAAAAATTATAGATGCTTATATTTCAATATATATTTGCATATTTTTTAAAAATTATATCTTGTGTACTTTCATTCAGTTAAGTATGCTCTTGATTTTGCCTCAGAATTTTCTTGCTTCCACTTTTAGTTAAATAATGGATATTATTGGAAAACATCTTTAAGGTGCTTGCAGACTGCTTCAGAGAATCAGAAGTCTTATTTTCACAAATGTATGACTGACTAGTGAAAGGGTGCTATTAAATCATCACGTTTCATAGTTCACTATTTGTAGCCCAACCAAAAAAAACTTGTAATAGAATTTAAAATGCTTGTATCACTTTCTGAGTTTTTCAGACCCATCTTTATTAAAAATTTTCAAAACAGAAGAGTATCACTATCGTTGAAGATGTTAAACAGTGGTAAAAATATCAAATGTTTTCTTATTTTATAAACTTATTTAGGTTGAAAGCTATACATTTGGTTTCCTCAATGGAAAAGAAGATCAAACTGAAGACACTGAACCCTCATATCACATGCAAGCTATGTAAGGGTTACCTTGTTGATGCTACCACTGTCACAGAGTGTTTACATACATGTAAGTACATCTGGACCTGTACTAGATGAACTCGTATTCAAAATTTTTGAAATTAGCTAACAAACTAAATAGATACATGATATCTCTAGATTTATTTAGCATAAATTTATAAATATATGTTTGTAAGAATCAAAATAAATTGCCTCAAGTCCATATAGTCCACTGTGTACCTTTGAGCAAAATTCAACAAAAGCAATATGCTATGTTCAGAAAGTAAACCTAATAAGAAATGTCTGTATCATGAACCATTTGTTTTTCTTTATTATTATTTATTACTGTTCCACCAGTGTACAGCAGAAATGGTTGTGAATATTTTTGATGACGAGGAATCCACTTTGAGACTAGTCGTGCTTGGAGATGGCTTGAATGGGTAATGAAGAAAAACTTTAATATAAGTTTAACATAACAGCAAATGTACAACGTTCCGACAAGGTTTTGTCATCATCAGGTACAAGTAGTTTACACTGACACAGATATATATATATATATACAGTATGGAACAAAGAGGACCACATGACTGGATCGAACTAATGTGATCAAATAGTCAACAGCCACAGTAAATCATCATGAACTATATCAGCTAGCTATTAGCTATGTTTTTATCATTACAATCTATAGAGTTAGCTACCATATCAAATTATCCTTTTCCATAGTTGAGAATGAAAAAATCCAGCAAACAAGATATATACAAAATTAAGAATTTTAAAACCTGCAAGTAGGAATCATAAAAAAAAGTAAGGAAACAAGGCTGGGGATACTGTAGACATTATTTACTCAAACTACAAATCCCTATTTTGACTCCAAGATGGCATGTGACAGAAAATAAGAGTATCACTGTAAATATGATGAAGGGAGATCTGAGAGAGCAAAAGTTGGTAACAATGTATGTGGAATCCCCCTCCCCCAAAACTAAAATTATTCTTCCCCTGGTTCCAGTTAAAACAGTTTTATTTTTTGAACAAGGTGATTGGCTTATAGCACGAGTTTCTGTCTGCAGTATTGGAGCCAACCACTTTCCAAGAGCTTAAGGATGGAATGATAAGTAATATTTCATGAAAAATAAAGGGTGGGTTTAAGTTTTTACTTTTTTCTCAAGGGTAACTGTGTAGGAACAACTTTGAAGGACCAGATTGTTCCTTGTTATGTTAAAGTATTTAAGTCATCTAGCTCTTGCATGCACATTTCTAATTATTATGGTAGACAAGATCTAAAAAAAATTAATATAGTGTTTATTTGGATGCATACATGTGTTAAAAGGTGTAGAGGTGTATTTGAAGATTCATCAAGTAGGGTTTAAGTAGTGTCAAGTTAAGTTTTTTTCCTCCCTCTTGTTAACAAAAACCATTTGACAATGTTTGAATGGTAGTCACACATTAAGTGTCACATGAAAAATTCAGTATTTTGATCTGTGTAATACCCATTACTTAAAACAAAAGTTATTATATTAAAAAAAGACAATCACCCCACCAACCACCAAAGTGTTATGTATAACTGCTCCTTCTGTGCATTGAAGCAAACTTTTATGGTGAAGCACAGGTGGGGTGGGGGGGTAGGTTTAGTGAATGCATTGCTCAAATATAAAGTACTAAATGCCTAGTGTTCAAAACAAGACATAAGAGAAGTGTTATGGTACAGTAAGTATTAAACATAAAATATACATTAATGCTAATGATTTTAATATTGCAATAAAGAGCAACCTTCCCCAAGGCTTATGTTTAATTAATCAACAGTGTTGTTCAAAAAATGTGACTGATAACAAAACACTCTCTCTTGTAATTATTTTTTTATAGTTGAAGGTCCCTGTTTATTTTCTAATTAAACTGTTACTATTACTTTATTCTGTTTTGCTGTTTATTTATAATTATGTTTATTATGTATGTTTATTTAATCAATAGTTTTGTGTTAAAAAAGCTATGACTGTTAATCTGCTTGGAGTGATGACTATTAAATAAAGATATATTTTGCTGAAGTCCAGCAGTTACTTTAATTAGTGAGAATAGAGTGCTTTTCCAATGCAAGCTTAATTTATGTAGCAATGTACCTATTGCACATAGCATCAAATAGATGTACTTAAACAGTGCATATTTTATGTAAAATTACTGTATTTAATCTTCTCTCTAACAAATTTTCTAACTACATGTGAATATTGTTTTATTTTATTTATATGGATTACCTATAATATAAAAGGATATTCAGTCAGATATAAACTAGTAGTTATGGTGATGTCATTATTAAATTGTGCTATTTAAGACTGTCAGAAGTTCAAACCTTCATTTGTCAATGTTCTTGGAACCTTCTAAGGTCAAAATCTATCCTTTGTTACAGCACTTAAAAACTGTGATTTTAAACAAATTTTTGTGTGGTTTAATGGGTGTAATAGCTCATTATTTCTATTTTTCAGTCTGTAAAAGTTGCCTTGTGAAACACCTTGAAGATAACAACACCTGTCCAACTTGTGAAATAGTCATTCATCAGAGCCATCCACTTCAGTATATAAGGTAAGGGAGAATGTGCATTGAGCTTAATTTGTAGGAGAAACTTTAGTTTGTAAACATAAATTTCATGAAAGCCAACAGAAAGATGAAAAAAGCAGTGTATCATAAGCATAGTATTTGTATATTTATTCCTCTTTTATTGCATTATTAAATGTAATACAAACACACAAGTTGCATTATTGAAAAATAGTGATACCTTAGACAGTTTCACATACGAGGGATGTCCAAAAAGTTCGTCGCCTGACCTATAAAGAAAAGACTGGTTCAACTATGAATAATTTTTCAACATAATCTTTTGAGTCTATACACATTCACCATGGATGCTCTAAGGCCTTTATGTCCTTCTAAAAGAACTGTTTGTCTCAGTCCTTAATCCATGACTGGATGGTATGTATGAGATCATCATCATTATGCAATCTTTGACCTTTCAGAATGGTTTTAAGGTTAGGGAAGAGAAAAAAAGTCACTCAAAGCTAAATCTGGTGAGTAAGGGGAGTGACTGAGTAACTTGAAGCCAGTATTGTGAATAGTGTTCAAAGCAACATGTGATTTATGAGCTGGGGCACTGTTCTGATGTAAGAGCACACCTTTTTCGAGCAATCCTCTTCTCTTTGCATTGATTTCTTGATTAGGGTTGTTGATTACGGATTCATGGTAATTTTCTGTAATCGTTTGACCTTTTTCCAAATAATTAACCAGTAAAACACCCTTGGCTTCCCAAAAACTTTGATGCCATGATCTTCCCAGCAGAGGCTTGTGACTTGAGCTTCTTTGGTGTAGGTGAATTTGGGTTTTTTCATTGTAAACTTTGCATTTTTGTCTCTGGGTGAAGGTGGAGAACCCATGTTTCATCATAGATACAAGTCTATTGAAACCTTTGGAGTAGGCATTGGCTTTCGACAACTTGGATCTATTTCTACTCAGGTGACAACATTTTTGAAACCCATCTGGCTCTAACCTTATTCATACCCAAACTGTTTCTCACAATGCTTGCTACAGTACGTTTACTGTTTCCCACTTCCTTTACTAACTTCCTAATGGTAATTCATTTATCGTATATTACCAAATAACGAACTTTAGCAACAATTTCTGCTGTGGTCAATACCGAGAGCTGACCTGACCTTCGATCATCCTCGTATGGTTGTCTACTATGCTCAAACTTAGCACACCACTTTTTCACTGTTCGGTATATCAGAGTACCCTCCCCTACTGTTGCTTCCATGTCCTGGTGGATTTCTCGTAGTGTCATTTTCTTTCTAACAAAAATTTGATCACGGCACAAAGTTCAATCTTCTCCGTGACATTTAACACTGCTCACTTCTTTCCTTCAGAAATCTGCAAACACACAAAATAAGCATGTTAAGTTATATGCTGTTTGTTGTTTACTTTTAAAAAGGGTCAAACTTAATATTTATCAGAAAAACCAAACATTCCAATTTTTATTTGGGTTAAGCCTTTAACTTTTTGGACAACCTTTGTATTTTGTGCAGGTTTAGTACAGTTTATTGTGGCACTGCTTCATTGTTTTAAAGAATGGGGACACTTCACAGTAGATGTACTTCTTTTGTATTTTATACAAGTTTGGTTAATTCTTAGAAGCTTAAACATGGCTTGGAAGTATCTACATTGTACAAAAAACGTATTTTACTAATATTATACTTCATAGCTTTCATGATTACAACTATTTACAAAAGTTTTATGTTTTAAAATCTACAACTCGCACATATTACTAAAATTTCTTTGTTTCATAAGTACTGATGCGTCAGATTTTGTGCACAAACTCAACCATTCTTAAAATATAGTACTGTTTGGAATATAACTCCTATTTTATTCCTTTTTTGTTGTTTTTACAACGATCCTTTGAGAACACAACAAATAAATTGAGAATAAAATTTCATTATTCACAATAATTAAAAACACTAAAGAATAAGTTTGAAATGTGATGATAATTGTACACAGCATGGTCACAAGTAAATAGACACCACCTTTTCAGAAAAAATGAAATTTTTCAGTCATATTCACATGAATTGATATATTTA